CCATAAATAGGAGTTTGTTAAGAACTCAGGATTAAGATCATTCTATATATGACCATCGGTAGACTCAATTAGAATTTCTATGCTTAACGGAAATTATTAGAAATTCATATTGTGTATGTGTCATTGTTCCACACAATCTCATTATCCGAAATACACCCATTCAATATCTCACCATATTAACAATGCGGATAACACCGTTCCATTCTAAATGGGAATGACATGTATTAATAATGTTTTACTTAAAGATTCTGAACTTTAATTAAATTCATTATGAACAATGTTTTTTATTATTATCCTTAAATACTATCCTCTCGTATATAACACTTATATACTATGTTTAAGGTTACATAAATAATCACGGAATTTTCATTTGATATTCATAAAATATTCATAAATATATGCACATAAAATGATGAATAAACTCTTTTATTAATTAAATAATAAATATCCTATTACATCTTATGCTTCTAGGACACTATTCCCAACAGAATAGACGGTGGAGAGAAACTTCAGCAAAGAAGAAAATGGAAAACGTGAGATGTGAGATGTGAGATGTGAGATGTGAGAGTGAAAGAAGCAGCAATGTTCTTGAGGAGACTAAACAACTACCACCGAACGAAATAACAAAATTGCCCAGCAGATAAACGCAAGAACGAAATAAAATTGAGGGCAAAATAATAAAAGCAACTTTTATGGGACACAAACGACATTTTCCGAATTGATTAACACGTACAACACTGAATTCCACCACTGATTTAACACGTCTAACACGGGTCCCACCACTGAAATCTGTCTTTTCAAAGACAGCTGTGCAGAAAAAGAAACGGAAAAAAATAAAAATATATTGCTAAAGACAAAAGTACCCAAACAAAAATCAAATCAGAGGTAAGCAACTAAGGATATAATGGTAAAAACACATATTTAGGATACAACCGGAAATTTTAGATATGTTGATAAAGACAAAAATACTCAATAAATGACCAAAATGGTCACAGCAAATAAAAGCACAAAAATCTGAAATGAAGGGCAAAATAATAATTTTACAAATAGGACATAACGGTAATTAAAATTTCAGCAGAAGAAAAAAGTAGGGCTAAAACGGGAATGACACTGTTCATGACACTGTAGCATGAACAGTGAATCTCGTCCTCTCTTTTAGTATATGTATAATATCTTCATCTAGTAATCTAATATCGTTTTCACTTGAAAAATTACGTTTATTTCATGCATTTAAGTCAGTAATTCTGATTCTGAATTTAATTTTGTGATAAAATCTATTGGCAGAAACTTTCTAATTATTCAAAATTTTTTGAAAGAGTCGAATCAGAATTATAAGTTCAAGTCTTAAAACTAGACGGACCATAGAAGTCACACATATTTAGTTGTTTAAGACTTTTGTGGTATGGAATAAAAAAGATATTTGATTAATTGTAGAACATTGAACTGTTAGATATCATCAAAATGAAATTAAATTACAAAAATAGGTTAATTTTATGAAACTTAATAAAAACGGTTGGCTAAGTAACTCAACTTAGTTTTGGGAAAATTATTATTTTGTGTTTTTTGGGTAAATTTATTATTTTCCATTATTTGGGCTAGAATTATTTTATGGCTTATTAGGAGTCTATCACTAAAGTGTCACTAAACTGTGTTCTACCACTAAAGTGTCACTTTAATTATACTTTACAACATAATTTTCATTATTTGTTTTGAAAAGTGAGCTACCCTCACAGTCAATGATAAAGTTCTAGGAAATATATTATTCAACCTTGTATTTCCTGTTTGCAATATTTACCATATATAGTGTTCGTGTGAACTACAACCACACCCTCACATTTAAACTGTTAGTTTCAAATTTTTCAGTCCATTAATACCAAGAAAGAAATTTGAAAAAATATTTTAAATCCCCAAATTACCCTTTCAAGCCTTGTCTCCAAACATTATTGAGGATTTTTCAATGTTCATAATCCAATGCACACATCTAGACTCAAATACTAACCAAAACACACCTAAAAACTCTTTCATATTCTTTCTCATCTGTTCTTGTTGACCTCGGTGTGTGAGGCGAAAATCGACGAGAATGGTATGCCCTTCGCTAAATCCGGTGAACGAATAGCAGAACTCATCTGGTATATTGGGTTTGGTTCTGATGTTAATTATTCTTGTTAATTAAGAATTTGAGAGTAATTCAAAAGCACCATTTTCATAATGCGAGGGCTAACTTTTTTCTAATTAAATTTGCGAGAAACATAATATTAATAAAATTACCAAACGTTCATTTGGGAGAGGTACATGTGTAGTTTCTAAAAGTAAAGGATGTACACAAAATTAATTACTCATTTTAATGTCGAACATAAAGTGGATTGGATGGGTTATTGGAATTTTTCAACCCAAACTACTGGAATAAATGAAAAAAAAAAAAAATTTACGAATTTTCTCTGACTATTTACTTATGTAAAACATGCCTTCAAAACTTTAAAACATACATGTTGCATCTCTTAGTTTATAATACGTCTTTATATTTACACTCCCCCTCATTTTTTTGATCCAAATAAACTAGTTGGGGCGACGCCCGCCAAGCATCGAACATATTATCTCCTTATAGTAGTTACTCAAAAGCATGAAAATGAGGAGGGAAAAGTGGGGAACGGACCCTAATTCAATTGGGGCAATAAAGGATTCAGAGAAATTAATGATTGACTTTCTTTATGTATGTTGCACATGCTAATTTATCTAGTATTAATATCCTTCAAAGTTCGGCCCTAATTCAATTGGGGCAATAAAGGATTTAGAGAAATTAATGATTTATTTTCTTTATGTATGTTGCTCGTGCTAATTTGTCCAATATTAATATCTTTCAAAGTTCGGCTGTAATTCAATTGGAGCAATAAAGGATTTAGAGAAATTAATGATTTACTTTCTTTATGTATGTTGCAAGTGCTAATTTGTCTAGTATTAATATCTTTCAAAGTTCGGGGGTGAATCTAAAGACGTATTAAGGGCATAATAATAATGTTTCAATGTTTAACAGGCATGTTGACACAAATAACATAGTTCACTGGAGAATTCATGAAATTTATTCAAAAAATTAACCTAGACAATCAACTCAAAAGAAAATCAACTCACCCAAAATAAGGCTCAAATTAGGCATTATAAAAGAAATATAAGAAAATAATTAAATTCACAACACATATTCTATAGAGTAATAAATTGCATTGTTCGACTCCAAACTATCTGTTTTATGCATAATGGAGAGTATGGATCACAAACTTTTAACTTTTGTAAAATGTATCCTGTACTTTACAATTACTATCAATTGAGGTCTAATAGCTGACGACCATTATTGAATTGACGGTTTAAGACACAAGATCAAATTTGTTAATATTCAAACCATGTCACGTGTAGATCATCTCGTGTCTGGAACTGTAAATTTGAGAACATTGTTAGCTATTGGAATTCAACTATAAGTGATTTTAAAGTTCATGATGCATTTTCTAAATTAGTTAGAGTATATTATGCAAAAAACCAACAATTTTGAGTGCAACAGTGCAATTTACTCTAATTTATATCAAGTTGGCAAGTTTAAACAGCTAGTCCAGTCTCTTAAGATTTACAATTAATAAAACAAATATAAAAAATAAAAGATCAAGCATACAAAGTCCAATATGCATAAGTCATAAATCATAATAAAACTAACGAATATATATTTAAAATATATTTTAAAAATATTTTAAGTTTCATTGATTGGGTTGAGATTATGATGAGTAGTTAAAGCTCAACTCAAACCCATTCAATGAAAATTTAGTTTGGATGGTTTAATCTAGTTTTGTCATGATTGGTTAAATTGAGTTTAGTTAATAGAAATCTTGACAAATACCCCTTAAAAGTGCATGGGTCTTGATTTTACCTCTTACACTTGATTGATACCATTTTTAATTAAATAACTATACTAACAAAAGGATACTAATAAAGAGTAAAGAGTAAAAATCTAAACTCGTGCCCTTTTAACAGTACTTCAGTAATTTTCTCTTTATTAGTTAAAGTATGTTAAATTGGGTTGGGTTGGATGGATGAATCAGGCTATAGGGTTTTTCGTTTAGCCTGATTAAAATGTGTAAATATTAATGCTAGAGAAAATTACATGGCGTGCCACTGAAATTTAAAAACTTTACATTTATGCCATTGACCTTCAATATATTGGACTTCTTTTGTTTTTTTTTTTTGGCTGGGTGAATCGAGTGAAATAGGTCTAATGTTTATGTCTTTAGGTGGTATAACTATAAAGATAGTATTATTTGAGTGTGGCATTTTTTTTCCCTGTTAAGTTATGTAATCAGCCTTTTTATTTTTCTAAAATTACTAACATTTTGTCTTGATTTTTGAAAGATTTTTTAATTAAAAAAGTTTTCTTCGTTGCTCCAACGTATATATTTTCTCCTCTTTCTTTATTTCTTTCTGATTTCCCAAACTCATCGGTTTTAATTACTTCTTCTATAATTTTCCATCTCTCATTTTAGACCAAGCCCCAACCATAAATAGATAAGTAGCCCCTACTTTAAACACAATATCATGATTTCTAGACTCTACGGTTGCAATTTATTTTGCCTAATATCTACAGTTTAGGATTTAGGGTTCTACATAATATCTAGAGTTAAGAACGTTGAGAATAAGGTTTATAGAAGTACATGGCTTGCTATAAAAATGCGAAGGATAATCATAATAACATATGCAAATCAGTAACATTAATACACAATATACACAAACCAACTACACATCACTAAATCTGAATTATGGCGCCAAAAGCTATCCCAATGGTACTCTTGGCTGCTTACTTTTTTATTGGCTACTTTTTCCTTTGTTTGGGCACAATTCAATCCCAACCCACAAACCGCAATGCCTTTGGTTTCATCCAAAACTTGACCGGAGGCCACAAGGGCGAAATCGTTCCGGGCCTCTCTGAGCTCAAGCAATATCTTCAACGATTTGGATACTTGGATTCTGAAGCAGTTGAGAACGTCGCCGAAGCCCAAAACTATGACGATGTCAATAGTATTGACTATTTTGATGACGTTTTGGAGTCCGCCATCAAAGCGTACCAACGAAACTACAATCTGAATGTCACCGGAACCCTAGACCCGCCCACGGTGAGGCAAATGATGCTGCCCCGGTGTGGATTCCCAGACACCGTCAATGGTACAACGTCTTTCCCCATAAGTCACGACCACGACCACGACCACGACCACAACCACGACCACGACCACGTCCACAAGCAGCTCATCCATGGAGTTAGGCACTATTCCTTCTTCCGTGGGAGCCCGCGCTGGAATAAATACCAGCTGACCTACCGCTTCGTCGCCGGTGTCCAAGTCCCCGGTACCAGCAACATAAGATCGATTGTCTACCGGGCGTTTCAGAGATGGGCGAGAGTAACCCGCTTTACTTTCACTGAAGTAGCATCCAATGTCCAGTCCGATATTTCAATAGGGTTCTTCCGCGGCTACCATGGGGACAACGCGCCTTTCGACGGGACCGGAGGCACCATAGCCCATGCATACGCTCCGTCCGTCGGGTGGTTCCACTACGACGCCGACGAATATTGGAGCGAGAATCCGAACTACTACCAGATGGACTTGGAATCCGTCGCGGTGCATGAAATAGGTCATCTTCTAGGGCTTGATCACAGCACCGTTGCGGCTGCAATAATGTATCCGAGCATCAACTCTGGTGCAATTAAGAGGGAGCTGAACGCAGATGACATTAATGGTATACGTGCCTTGTATGCTTTCTGAAGGCGTTAGTGGGACAAGTATGTTCCAAAGTTATATAAACAAGAAAGGGATATATAGTATTACTTACTAGATATAATATATTTATTAAATAAATTAGGACTGCCATGACTAGTAGCAAGTTATATGTAACTTTCTGCCATATATGTACGAAGCATATGTGCTCGAAAAAAATATATATATATATATAAATATTATAAGTTACTGAATAAATTAAATATAAGTTCTCAAGAAGTTTATTAGTGTCAAAATAAATGTTTATAAGCTTGAAGAGGCTAATTTATTCATATTCTTAGGTCAATCATAAAGCTTGCGATACGTACGTACTTGTACGGGAAAATTAATTACTGAGAGTAATTTGAGAAATTAGTGCCAGCTCATGATAACTCTAACGAGCTATTCCTTAAAAATACAGTTAGATAATACTATAGACAGCTATCACCGAAGTACAACAAATATGTACATAAGAGCTCTATATATCTTTAAAAAAAAAAAAAAAACAGAGAGAGAGAGAGAGAAAGAAAAGAAGAAGAAGAAGAAATCCTCTCCCCGATCGGTATATGACAAATGTTTCAACAGGAATTGTCATACTCTATTTGTGTTTTTTTTTTTTTTCAATTATTACCAAAGTACGTCGCTCTGATAAATTAAGTACTATCTAATAAATTAACTTTTTTTTTAGTGTCATCTGAAGAAAAGAAGAAGAAGATTAAGATCAAATATTGTAGTTTTCGAACAGTTTCTTTACGGAATAATTCTTCTTGATCATCGGTTTCTGGGGTCGGATAAGAACCCTACATTTGAGAGAGAGAGAGAGAGAGAGATTATTTGTGAAAAGTGTTCAGAAATCGTTAATGGCTTCCCAAATTGGTAGCAGACAACAGTGAGTATTGTAGACAAAGAGAGGTATTTGATGAGATCAATTCTTTGCAAATATTTATAAGCAAAGGCCACCCCGCGCGCGCATATATATGTATATATATATATAT